AAAATTGAGTTGATTTTTTTTTTAGATATATTTACCTCCACGAACGATTCCTGCCAAATGTAAAAATTAATGTAACAAACCACATTGAAAATACAAACAGTAAAATAACAAAATTTCTTTTTTATTTTTATGCTTTCAAAAATAAATATTATGTTCACAAAAATTTGTTTGAAGAAAACAAGAACTACGACATACTTACTAACAAAAAGTATGCTTTTTATAAAGGTATGTTTTATACTATTATTAACATAACCCCAATTTTTTAATTAAAGCTTTAGCTTTTTAACTATTGTTAGATAGCAATTAAAAAAATAGATAATCGCTAATATATAGAGAAAAAAATATCAAATAAAGATCACCATTAAAAAAAATATTGGATTCATGTTGTTGTATTTTGCCATACAAAAATGGTGTGTATTTATATTCAAAGCAGAAGACAAGTAAAATTAAAAATACAGTGAACTCTCACTTATGCACCGGTGTAAGGGGCCAAGAGAAAAAAGCGCATAAGTGAAAAACTTCGAAATTCTAAAACGCAACGTAAATTGCAGTGACAATATGAATAAATATGTTTCTAAAGATTAAATGTTAATACTTATACTGTTTTCATATTTACTAGAATTATACAGAAGAAAAAATTTAAATTACCATAAGACAATTTATTCTCTTACAAAATAATCTTAATACGTGTTTGTATTTGTTTTTGCCGACGTTATTCAAAAGCAGTTTTTTCCAGTTCATATAAATGGGATGAGGGGGAGTTTCAGAAGCAAAATTAAATTGTAAATAGTCAGTAATAGTGTCTAAAGCTTTCAATACTGCTGTGTGATTTGGAGGAACTTTATCATCTCGTCAGTATCATCCACCACGTTCTCATCTTTCACAAGTTTTAGTTAGATATAAGTGAGCAATTCTTCACAAAAAATTTGAGTTTTAAGGGAGGGGGTGAAACCTCACATGATAAATTTCTAAGAAAAGTACTTGAAGTCATAATATGCTGCACAATAAGTTATTCAAGTACTTCTGTCACTAAACAGATCACCTCCTTTTATTTACTCAAAATGTCCATCTGACTGCAAGTAAGTGATCGCGGTCTCTTTCATCTTTCGTATTCTAGTTGTCTTTTTTTTCTAGAAAACAGCATGGGAGTACAACTAACCTCTGGACAAGAGGAATTGTCATTTTCTAAAAGATGAATGGGCTTTCATTGTTGTTGGTGTAACAGATAAGACACCCTATTCAAAATTCTAGAAAGAATGTCTTTCCAGAAACAGCAAAAATGAAAAGGTCACAGGGGGAAGTAAATTCAATAGGATCTAACAACATATATTTCCTTTTATCTGTAACAAGGATTGCTTATTTGCTTCATTTTTAATTTAAAAAAATTTTTTTAAAAGAAAAAATATTTAAAGGATTAAAAAATTAAAATGTTAGCCTAAAATTTCGGCGCATAATTGAAAAATTTATTTTTAGAGCGACGCATAAACGAAGGATGTTTATCATTATTTTCCTATTTAATGTACTGGGACCTATAAAAATCGTCGTATAAATGAAAAAGGTGCATAAAGGAGGTGGTGCATAAGTGAGAGGTCACTGTAACTGTTTTTCAAACCAAATCGGGACTATTTGTTAGACTAAAAATGTTCTTTGCAGACATATTTCTTTACAAATCGTACTTTGTTGCAAATAACTAATTAACGAACGAAAAATTTTCATATATCTTCTCTTTTTTATTAACAAATCATGGATAACAAAAAATTACTAAGAAGTTAATTTAACAGTGCGTAGAACATTTGTTTCATTTTACATGGTCATAAATTCGTAAATCAGTACAATTTATTAGAAAAAAACTCGATTACTGTGAGAGAATTGTTGAATTGATAAATTTGCTTTAATTAATACAATGTTAGGATTTTTCGAAATTATTTCTTCGTAATATTTGTGATTCCTGCATCCTTTGATTTTTTCCTACTGCATGCAGTTAAAAGTAATTGTGAAAGAATACCATAACACTTTATATCAAATACTATATTTTACTATTTAATTGTTAAAATATAGCTTATGAAATGAACTATTAAAAACAGACTAAAGGGAAGTGTATTCTAAAAAATATTGAAACGAAAGTTATAAATTACGCATCAAATCTTTTATTGATTTTTTAGATTTAAACTCTAAGCATCATTATTATGAATTTTTAAAAAAAATAATAAAATGATGAACACAGCAAACCCTATATATTTGTAATTAAAGAAAAAAATAAATTTGATTTTTAAAAGTCAATTATGTTTACATTTTCAAAATGTAGAATCTTCTTAAGTCATAAGTAATTCAAAGATATATTTAAGGTTACAAGTTATTGTTAATTTCTTTTTTCTGCTTTATTTTAAATAAAAGTCAAGGTCTATTTTTTGTAGAATTAAACTAATCAGAAATTTGATAACTTAACAAACAAATGCTATATTTTAAAATGCAGAATGAATATTTTTTTATCAAATTACTTACCATTTGCTAAGCCTCCAACTGAAAATGATAAAAAAAAATTAAGTTTATTAATTTGATTTATCGATGATCTCAATCCCTTATTATTTCATCATGCACAGCTGCTTAGGCTTACACATAATTTAACTAAATTTAATTTAAAACTTAAGAATATATTTGTATTTATCATTGTTACATCATTGTTATCATTCTTAGAAAATATAAACAAAAAACGTTTTTTAGAAAAAAACGTTTTTTGTTTACGTTGTTTACAGAAAAAAAGATATCGTTTTTTTAAAAAAAAACGTTATCTTTTTTTTTCTTTTTAGAAAAAAAGAACCCTTTAAAAAATTGAGTTGATTTTTTTTTTATTTTTTAGGAAAAATCAATATTTTTCTCCAAATTTAGGTTGAAAGATTAAGCACTCTAATTCGTTTCATGTTCGAACAAATATGCTTCTCGAAAGTTGTTAACTCAAAGTAAAATGCATAAAATTTCTGAAATAAAATTTTTTATATTAGAAATAAATAGTACTTATAAAATAAATTTAAAATTAAATTAAAATAAAATCAAAATAATGTTACTTAATAAACAGGTCTTATATGCTTTGAGATTTTTTTCGCTTTATAGCATTCCACATGACAACTTTGAAGTAGGAGCTGTAGTAGGATTTTAGGCTTTATTTAGCATTTCCTATACCCCTAGCCCGCTTTCAGGCAAGCATAGTAGGCCAAAGCAACTCCAAGTCAGATTATAATTCAAGCATGTGATGATTGACTTTTTTTACATCACGTTATCATATGGTTATTTTTTGCCTATTTTAACAAATTGGGTTCATAACTTCAACCTTGGTGCTCATTTTGCAAACATTTTTAAAACTGGTCTTATCAGAAAGTTGCTTTCAGGAGTCTGATCTCATTTTCGAGATTATGGGGTGTTACTGAAAAAATACACGATTAACATAAAATGGATCTCTAAATCACTTAAAGGAATTTTAATTTAGGAAAACATATTGTATAGCTATGCTTACATATGAAAATGCGCTAGCAAAAATAAATAAATACAGATTTCTTATGTAAAGACATTTCAACTTACTTCCACCAAAAAGACCTGAAAATATACAAGATATAATAAATGAATAATTTACTCTTTCGTTTTATTACCAAATAAGATTAAGAAAGTCAGTTAAACATGTGACTGAAAGTTTCAATGGAAATTTAAATAAAGAAAGCTTCATTAGAATTGTGCAATTGCAAAATCATAGATTGTGATTTTTATCTCTATTCAATCTATTCTTGTGTTGTTGGGACAACGTTCAATCACCTCTATGGTGTCCTCGGGAAAGTTATCTACATTACCAAGGTTAAATACCATAAGACGCTACGAATACCGACTGATGTTAACTTTTTTTTTTCGACTGATTGACAGAAAAGTTCTTAAATATTGACTAAATTCGTTTTCTCGAAGAATTAACGATACTTATTTCGTTTCTTTGACGAAATTATCACTGGAAGCATATACGATCAAACGGTTTCGACAAAAACAAAGAAAATTTTGTGAAATTTGAATATTGACTTCTTACGGAGTGCATACTTTAGTTCTAGAACCTTAAGTTTTCACATGTTATTAAAATAAAACGAACGTGTTCAGTTCAGACAGATAGTTTGCTGAACTTAAACTTAATATCAATATAACTATTTTTAAAAACTTACCTCCTAACAATCCTCGATGTTCTGAAAAATTTAAAATTATGTTGATAAAGTTGTATGAACATAAAAGTAAAAATAAAATTTCATTAATATAATTCATAATAAAATATAATTCAATAAAATATAAAAATAATAAAATATAATTCATAATAAAATTTATTTTATTTAAATGCTTGGAAATTAAATAAATAGAATTTTAGATAGCTTTATATATATAATTTATAAATATATTGAACAAAATTCAAATTCGTAATATATTCCCACTAGAATAACATTACTAATTAAATACTATTTGATTTAGAATTATTGTTCGCATTTCATGAATTAAATGTCGATGAGCATGCAAACACATATTCGCATAATATTTGTATATTATGCAAATATTCGTATTCGTATAATCAAACAAATATTTGTATTGTATTTTTTATCACTAGATGACCCTTAGAATATTTTAAGAAACTCATTCGTGCCTTACTTATTTATTTACTTATCCTACTTCGCGCCTAGTAGCACATAATGCCCTTATTTTCTTGCACCATCTCACTCAATCCTTTGAACAAGATCTCTCCTGGAACAAGCTCGTTCAACCCACCTGTCTTCTTTCCCTTTCCACCTTTCTTTTCCATGTTAGCATGTGTTTTCTACTTTTTCGTTTGCCTTCTAGTGCCCACGTTAAGGCTTCAGATGGTATTCTTGTAGCAGGCATTCTCAATACATGACCTATCTATTTCCATATCTTTCTTTTTATACCGATGTATCAAGTATACTGTTACAGATATCCATGGCGTTGAAATGGGTGGATTAGTTCTTGTAGATTTATTGTCTGAACTGTTTTCAAACAAGGTTGATGATTTATACTTTGATAACTTATTTACTAGCCCAGAACTTAGAAATGAATTATCTAAAGAAAATATTGGAGCAACGGGAACTATATGTACAAATTGTACATAAAACCGTTCTCTTCACGAAGTTAAAGCAAAAACTATATCCAGGTATTTATGAATAGTATTTTGACTATTTGAACAGTTTAGCAAATTTCAGATGAAAAATTCTAGCAATGTAACAACAGTTTGCTCCAACATGCACGAAGTTTTCCCTCTGATAAAGGCAATGTGATGGTAGAACACATAAATAAAAGTGATAGAAACTGATCAACCTAATCTGTAGTATCCGAATATAATCGGTATATGAGAGGAACAGATCGTATGGACCAGAATGAAAATGTATATCGGTGTATATGTATATCGGTGTTTCATACGGTCTAAGAAATGATGGTTATTATTTATTTGGGTTAGAAAGGGCAATAATTGACAAATCTATTGCTTGTAACCATCTTTGTTCCCTTTTTTCCCAATTGTTAGATTTTTTAAGCTTAAAATGAGAAATAGGTTAAACGGTTTATTAATCCAAGATCACTAAGCTTGGTCATGACAGACACTTTTACTAAAACAAGCAGATGCTAAGTACAAGATTCCCTTAAATATAACAGAATAAACCACTTTATCAATGTGAATAAAACATTGTTACACTGCCGAAGTTGGGGGATAAGGTTGCTAGAAAATGAAGCAAATGTAAAATTGTATTGCTTAAAAAATGTTTCAAAGTATTTCATATAAAATAACTTCACTTTATCCTTTCTAAAAAAAAGAAAATTCTTTTTTAAATGAAAAGAAATTAACCTTATTTTTTATATTATTTCACATTTTATTACTTGTTTTATTCAAAATTGCATTCATCTTTAAATGGGGAAAAATCTGCACCTATACAAGACTAGCTCTCCAATATTAGGACATTAGGATATTATGATTTATTATAAAAATTATTTAAAAAAATATTTCACATATCAAGTTGGTAGAAAAAATCAGGCATTAATGGGTTAAGAAACTTATAACAAATAAATGTGATTTAAGTTTACTTACTAACAGCTGGTTTATGTGTTGTTACTGAAAGAAAACGTACTAGTATACACTCATTGCTATAATAATTTGCCCACCAAGAAAGAATTGTTGGAAATAAACGGAATTTTGCACACTTAAGTGTAATTTTGATAGAGTAAGTGGTTAAGAAACAAGGCGAAATGATAATTTATTGAAAGAAAAAGTAAAATGAATGGAGTTTTTTGTTCCTTCTTGCTCCACCTCTAGCACGAATCCAGGATAGGGTAGACATTGAGTCATAAAATCCCTTATAATATCCAGCGGTATCTCATTCCACAGTTGCATTGAAAATAATACTCAATTTACTAAATTCAGAGGCTGTCCAACTAGCGGTCCCAAGTTGTCCTATACATGCTCGGTTGGTGACAAATCTGGGGATCAAGCCAGGAAATAGGGGTAATGTGGCGCATATTTTCCTGCGATACCCTTGCTTTGTGTGGCCGAGCATTCTTTTGTTGAAAAATGAGTCTTCAACGATTGGCAAACACATGTGGTTGAAGGATGTCACGAGCAAACCGCTGGGCTTCCATAAGGACGTGGTTAAACGTTAGAGGTAAACGTATGTCGAATTAGATGGCTCCCCATCATACTAGCTTTAGAAGTGGTGTCCAACTGTTCAGCGCTGGCATCCACTCACTGTTGCCACTGTTTGGAGTGATGACTTTGACTATGGGATTGGACTGCAACCGAATGGAACCAGGTCATCTTCAGTCATGAATCTAGATTTAATAAGGGCAGTCATAATTTTAATGTACAAGAGTAGAGTCTCCAAGGTAAATGCCACAATCCTACCTTAGTTGCACAGCAGCACACTGCTTCTACAGCTGGAGTGATGATGGGTGATACCGTCACATACTTCACACGATCACCCTTAATATTGATCCACGACACCATGACAGTCCATGGGTTCGTTCTTGACACCTTTCAGTAACATGTGTGGCTACTCATGGCAGGGCTCCTACAAGCCGTTTTTTAACCAGGCAATGCTCGTTCACAAACAACAAGGGTATCACAGGATTTTCTCCATCTCTAGATATCTACCCTTTTTTGCCCTGTACGATCTTCAAATTTATCACCAAATGAGCTTATCAAACTTTGGACGGCAAGTTGGACAGCCCCCGAGTTTAGTCCATTTAGAGGTGTTTTTACAGTGACTGTAACGTGTATAGCATCTTGCATTTTAACTTGAGGTGGCCCAAGAGAGTACTAAAACTTATATTCGTTTGAATTTTTTCTCGCAATAAATCAACATTTTGCTTTGATTTTTAATCACTTTCACGAATATCAACATTGTACTTACTTATGCAACATTTTGTTTCATACTGACATTTCCACCTAAGCGTGCAAAGTTTTTACTACTATGTGTAAAATTACTTGCTTTAAAATCGTTTAATCATACTTAATTTAATGTATAATCATATATATTTTTATGATTAATTTTAATTAAAATTTTAGTACTAAATTTTTAGCTATTGAAAATAAAATATACATATAATAACTAAATAGAAAGAAAATGAAGGAAAACAAAACCATAACTCATATAGATAGGTTTTACAGATTAGACACAATTTAAATCCTCTGATACGTGATATTACTTTAAATAATATTAGTTCAACTCAACAAGTTAAGTTTAAATCAACCTGTGTTCAAAAAAAATTTAGTAGCTAATTAAGATTAAGTACTATTCTCTACTCCAAAAATATTTTAAGGGTGTTTTAAATATATATATATATATCTTTCGNTATATATATATATATATAACAAAAAAGTATTTTATTACATATTACATATATCTATGGGAAATTAATATGCTAATGTTAAATATTTGGCCATCAATATAATTACTTTAACTTAATATGGTGTATTTTGCTAAATTAATAATTTTGTTTAGCTGTAGAAGAATAATTTAACAATAACTTTGTTGCTTTGTAACGTATGCACTCGGAAACTCTTCATAATTATTTACCTTAGAATTCAATCGTCGAATTCTTCAACGTTTTATTTTATTTTTATTAACTTAGCTTTTATGCGAGCTTCAGGGCCCATAGTTCCTTTTCCCAGCTATTTTTGAATTTCAATTATGTTCTAGGTGTGATTTTATTTTATAGTTTTTAATAAACAGTTCATTTTGGCAATTTAGTTTTATTTCATTATTCGATGGCTCATGCTAGTTTAATTCATGTTTGTTTTCCCACACAATTTTTTAATTAAGAATAATGGTTGTGAAGTAATTAATACCTATTTAACATAATTTAGATTGTGTAAACTAAGCTATTTTGTTTTATATATTACTTCCAAAATATTGGATTTAAATATTAATTTCGCTGCTACTTCCTTATTTGTCAATGGTTTCCTCTGATGCATCTTTTGTATTGCTGCCATCTTAAACCAAGTATCATTTTCCAGTGGGAATAACTATATGCTCTTTTGTGTGTGAAAATCCTCTCGTCACCTATTTAAGACTAATTATAATTTAGCTGTCGCCAGCTTCCACAGAAATGTTAAAACCTGCAATTCATCTCTGACTATCAGGTAACTTTAATCTTTTATCGGTACAAACCAATGTTTCTAGAGCATTCTTTTTCTTCTTGTATCACCTCTTTAGCCGTCCCTATTTTAGTATTAGTTTCTTTGGCTTATATAAGTTAAAGTTTAAACTCTCATTGGGAGCTCACATTTGTTTCCGAGCAAACCATTTTCGCCAAGGATGCTAGCATACGAAGCGATACGTGAAGTCATTAAGAATACATTCAATTTTCGTCCTGACAAATTTCTTCTCTGGGAATATGCTGGCAACTGATGTTGCTTTCAATTTTTCTATTATATTTATGATGATTTGTGTTGTGAACATTGAAGCTTAATGAATAAATGTTTTTATTTCTGTAAAATATTTTCCAGCTTTATTATGGATGATGTCATTCTCTTGTGGTAAAGGGTGAATAAGGAATTGTTTTTGAGTTAAGTATTTATGTTTTCTTTTTAACGGATGCGTTCTGAAGGACCTCGCAGCACTTGCTTTGTTTCGACACTATACCTTAAATTTAATTGTCCTAAATTCTAATGTTTTCTATTATTTTTTTGCCATTAATTCTATAACTATTTTTACAATAATTTTTAATATCCCTCACCATAAAAGTTTAAACGCAAACCTAAACCATTAACAAATAAGAAAATGCCAGTGAAAAAATTGTAAAATAAAATAAGAGTATTGTATAAATATCTTAATAAAAATTAAACTAAGAATTATTCCAAATAGATATTAACGAGACAAAATAAAATTAATATTCCAATATACAATTATTTGAATAATAAACAATTCTTTAAAATATTTAAACCTTATATTGCGGTATATAAAGCAAAAAAGGGCTATATTACATAATCTAAATTACATTATGGTAGTAATATAATAATGGTAGTAATTAAATCACTACCATTATTCTAACAAAGATGACAAAGATTAACAAAGATACACCCCATTAAATTAACGTAATGAAACTAATTGCCGAATATTTAACATATGTATGTTAATTTGACAAGGATATATGTAATAAAATATTTTTATGTTATAAACAAATATTCATATGTGGTGTACAAGTGTACAATACCATATATATATATATATATATATATATATATATTATATATATATTATTACTTCGCTCACCAACCCTGAAAAATCGCTCTTCGATTATTTTTGCACATTGGCAATAAATAGATTATTGCATTAAAATTAATAAATTATTCCATTTAGTTCCATAGATATAGTTCCCGATTTTATTGGTATAAACCATTTTGCTCGGTTACCATTGAAACTTTGCCCACTAACTTGTTTTATAAATTCTATTTTTTTATAAATTTATTTTTTTTTTGTTAGTATAAAAACTCGTTAAATGTTTTTCGTCAAAGGGATTAAATAGCAAAAGTGTGAAAGGTTAATTCTTTATAAAGGTTATTTGTATTCAAGGCCATATCATAGCTAGATAAGTTTTCTTTTTTGGTAAGAAATTAATTATAAAAGTAAATGTAATTTATTACCATAGTTGTAAAGTGGTAATTAAATATGCTTATCAAAAAATAAAATCTAATAAGGTGATATCACACGACTATCTAACGATATAATAAGGAAAATCATTTTTAAGGCCTTTAATTTTAAACAAAATGAAAATTAAAAAATAATCGTGGAAAGTAATATTAAAAAAGGAGGAAGAATAGATACAGATAAACACCGTTTTGAGCCACTGTGGCTCAAGCAGTAAAGCGTGTGCTTTGAGGTGACCCAGGTTCGAATCCCAGCGGTGGCTGGATGATACAAATTCTGCTCCCGGCTCACACCGAGTATAGTGGTGGCGTGAAAAATCCTTTGTGTTATACAGATCTTGGGTTAGAATCCTCCTGCAGTCTGGCTAACCATGNTATATAGCAGATTATTTTGGACTGATAATATGAAAAAAAAATTACCTTTTTTGGGCGGGGGTGTATATGCATGTCTGCCTATATAGGGAAAAGAAACAGATATAGGGTGAAAAAAAAGCGCAATATTTTATGCAGAACCTGTAAACTTAAAGGAGGAAAAGGGTTTTGAAAAGTATGTATTTACCATGGTGGTGTCTTTTGCCATGATGATCTTAAACAAAATTAACAATACTTTTACAATCTTCAAAAAACTAGAAACAAAAGTAAAAAGTGAAAAATCTATAAATTTACTTTTTTTCCTTTTTAGTTAAATGTTACATCAAATTTATTAAATTAAAATAAATGAAACTAATAAATTATCATAAAACTTGAAATAAAAATTATTTAACATAAATCTTATCAAAAAATCCAAAAAAGAAAAACGCATTAAATGTAGGATTTGTCTATAATAAGGATGAATTATTATCTGCAAATAGACCTCATGCAGAAAAATCTGAGTGTAGATGTGATTTTTTTGCTTGTTTCTTATTAGTGCACAAAACTTCATTGTTAAATTTATAAATTTATTATAAAGTTATTACTTCCAAAAAGCGTCGAAATCTATTTTAATACTATTTGGTAAAGAATTATTTTTTACACTTTAGATCAGCATAAATTGTGAAGGCTTATTTCTTTTTTGAAAATTGTTCTTCAAATAACTAAAATTGTTTTTTACAGTGTTATTGAAGCTAATGGTTGATGAAATTTGTAAGCAATTGTTAAGTAATTCTTAATCTGAATTGTATATTTTTCAAGCTTACTAGGCACACATAAAGTTTACTTACCACCATAAATGCCATACACTTTAAAAGGATAGTTTTCTGGAAACAGAAAAAAAAATTATGTATTTGAATTACAATCTTTAATTTTTTTTTAATTATTTAAAAAAGAGTAAATCAGTTAAGTCTTTTTTATCCTAAAATCAACTTAGTTCTAAATTTTACTCACTTATAAATTAAGTTATTTTGAATAATAGTTTTTTTAATAAGTAGATACAAAAATTTTCCTGTTTTTATGAGTATATTTTTAAGTTCTTTTTGTTATTATACTAGTTTTGTCTGAAATACCTTCTCACGCAATTATTGTTTTTCATCTTTTAGTCATTTGTCAGTATGTTCTTTTTACCACAATGTTTTCAGGATCGTCACCAAGGTTGAATCCCAAATTGTCTCTAGTTAAGTGTAACTAAAGGGCGACGTTAATTGTTATGACGACATTTTTTTCAGCACTAATAAGACTAGGTATTTTAATCTTGACTTTCTTTCACATTTGTTTAGTAAAGCTGCAGACAGTTTTTGAAAATATGAAACAGATGATTTTGTTTACAAATGACAGCATTACATAGCATAAGTAATTGCATACTGCGTAGCTAAGCTAAACCTTTCTCCCTAATGCAAAGTACAAAACTTGAAATTACACTTACGAATAAAAAATAGTTTTATAATTTTAAAGTTTTTAAAATTCAGTTAGAGTTTGGAAAAAAAACTTTTATCAACGAACATACAACTACGAAAACACGATTTGCATTATAAAATATAGTATATTTATATGGCAAATAAAAAAGGATATTTGAACACTTACTACACTCGACGAAATCTGGAAAAATAAGGACAAAATTAATGAACATTTTTGGATCGCTCATAATTATTAGATTCAGTGTGTGTTATTTTTAATTTGCAGATTAAACTTTTTGCATTTTGAGTATTCATAAATTTTAATAACGAATTTTAATCGTCTTTTTACATAAATTATAATTTTTTACCATAATGAAAAAAAAGCTTAATCGAAGCAATCATCAAAAAACTCAGAAATTATGTTTAGCTACTTCATTACAAAATGGTATCCTCTATAATATCACAAATTTTTAACTTTAAAAAAAATTCATTTTCATGGAATTAAGTTTTAATCTGTCATAACTAATTTTATTAACAGTTTAAGGTTTGATTTGGATGCCAAGTATAAAATAAGTAATAAGCTATCAAGTTTAAAAATGTAAATATCAGGTAACCATAAAAGGAAGTAATATACGTAAAACCAAAAAAAACAGATAACCTACAACTAATTTTTGATCAATAATTTGTTTGGCTCTATCCAGAAAAAGATCCGATGTCTATATAATGTAATTTGAAATTTATAATTGTATTTAGATTTATAATCATATTACGAGAGAATTTATTAAAAGATCATGTTTGTATGCAAAAGATTTCGAAAAAGAAATCAGTAATAGAAAAATGAATAAAAAATTACATATGAATTATTTGGGACAATCAAAAATTCATTGCTTATACTATACAAGGAATAGAGAAATTCAAAATACTTATTAAAATCTTTAAAAACCATAGCATAGTGTAGTACTGAATTGTTTTTTTTAAGTTTGATTTATTTCACATTTATTCTTAAAAAATGCAACAGGAACATTCATTTTACGGATAACAATTGCCCATAGATATGAAGCAAGTGGCCCTGTTGTCTGCATCCCTTGGACTGTGAACCAAAAAAGGACCACCTAGCATGATAACGAGAACAGCTGTCTTGGACAGAGGATGATTGGCTGTGGGTTCTCTTCAGTGATGAGTCACTCTAGTCGGGAAGCGACTCCAGACGTGTTCTTCTCTGGAGAGAACCCAGGAGTCGCAGTAGGTGCCCTAACATTGTCGAAAGGGCACCCATTACATCTCTTGGCATTTCCGGCAAAATTAAATTCCTAGTGCACTTTAGCATCCAAATAGAGTCTCGGTGCTACCATCTAGTATGGCAGAAACTAGACGTCCAAATTAACATGGTCAACGGTATCTCATCCATTGTGGTGGTCCTGAAAGAGTGGATACCACTTCTGGAGAACGCACTAGGTCTGCTCATCGAAAAGACTGATTGTGCAGCTCATTGGGAATAAAAAAAACATTGTCGAAAGAACCACCATGGTCAAGATGACCGGTTTCTTCATACACTCACTAGAGGTATTTTGACAGGTTATGGGTACAGGAAAGAGATCTTTGCATCCTATGTGAGACCTTTCCTCAAAACATATGGATCAAATTTCATCTTTCAAGATACTTACTTTTTCTTAAAAGGATGATAATGTCCATTCACACAAAGCTCAGTTGGTGGACGAATACACTCAATCGATAATCATTCATTCCCCAGTCGATACGATATTCAACTATTGGAGTGACCTGTAATGTCCCCTGACCTTAATGTCATCGAACACGCATGGAATGCTCTTGAGCCCTGAATTGCAGCTCAAAAACTAACTCCACCGACCATCGAGAGTTCAAGAGTGAGCTCATCGAATATCTCATGGGTGCAAAAGTATGGGCCGTTGCCACAGGGGATGATGAAGAGTGTGGTAAACGGTATGAAGCGCAATATAATTTAAGGTTAAAAGACTAGAAATTTAGTTTAAATTAAATAAAATTAAGAAGCAGGAAGTTATTTAAAAAAAATCAATAAATAATTTTTAACGATGACGCATATTTTAAAGCGAGGAGTTCTATTTTTAATATTTTTTGTCGCCACCTTTTTTTAATATAGTGCTCAACTCATTTAATATGAGTGTTCCAACTCCGAGTTATGAGTGGAATTTTCTGCACTGTGATAAAATTATACTTATACGAACCCCGCATATCCCATGCTTGCAAAAGTAAGAGTGGTTGTCACAGGGAAGATAAGGACTCTAATAAACAGTATGAAGCACAATATATGAGAGTTAGGATAGCTTTCAGAGGCAATCATACTCCCTATCAAACATATATTTTTCTGACTGATATGATGTCGGTCATCTGCTGTTCAGGACAAGGGACCAGATTCCTTACTTGAGGCTCAGGTTATGCCTATTGTTACCACAACTAGCATATATTGGTTTTATTTAGAATGATATTTTGACCAAGTTTGGTTTCAGTTACTTTGGTAGTTTGTGTTAAAAAAAAAGCACATTTGTTCCTTCTAGTGTACAGGTTTTACCAGTGTACCTTGAGTTTGACATTTAAGGATATGAGTTCTCATAAATTAAACATAATTTTCTTTTGCTTATGAAAACATTTCATATAAGGATTAATAATAAATTAGATAAATATTAGATATGAGAGTTAGTTGTCTATGTATTTGTATATAGTTGTTTTGTATATATTTATGTATTTGGTTATTTTGCTTACAAGTCTTTTGCAATTAATTTGTATAATTATTAATGAAAAAATTACGTAAGCATGGTTTTTATAATAATTTAAAGGTAACAATTTAAGTTTTTTTTTTACTTTTATTGCCTTAAGCGAATAATACTTTAACTAATTATACGAATTGTTCATATGAGTTATGATTAAGTTATGATAACTATAGTGAGGGTGAGATGTTCTTTTTAGACAGCGATGTAGTCCATAAAGATGAATTGGTTACAAGTGACATCATCGCAGATAATTTGTGGCATTTGTCGATTCAGAAGCCAATCAGGTTCGACACACACGCGAGATGTCACTTACAGGTATCTAATTAAATATGGTTTAAATCATATGGTTAGGTAATTATTTCAATTCTTCTCGAGTCACAAGTACAGAATTGTGAACTCGATGGATATTTTGTGGGTGTTACATAAAAGCTTGAATACAATCACAATACAATGCATATGTTTTTAATTTGTGTTTTTCATTATCTTTAAATAAATCTTATTTGCATTCATTCAACAGTCTTGTTCGTTAAAAGTGCCCATCTTTAAAATAGAGCATAACAATCTGAAAGACTTAATTTCGAACAATATTGCATGGACAAAGCTGAATGTATTAATTAAAGCAATGACACAACAAAATGGAGGTTTAGCACATTTAAATAATGCGACATTTACTACATTTTTTGGAATAAGGAAAACTAAATTGCAATTTACTCGAAATTAATGCATGAAAGTTTTTTTTAAACAAATACAAATAATCAAAACATTTTTAAAGGAGATGGTTATAAATTTAACTTACTATTATTTAAAAACACAGTAATGAATAATATACACCATGATGAAAGTATAAGCTTTGAAGTGTGCATATTTTGCTTATGTACTAAAGAAAATTATCAAATACGAAAACATCTGGGACGAATGTAATTTTTTATTGCATAGCCATTATTATAAAATAAATTCTATTTCGAATTTGTTTTACTTGAATGATTTGAAGTACATCCTATCTTTCTTTTTATTATTATCTATTAAATCGTTTATAAGTGTACTTGCTATGAGATAGCTCAACTTTATTGAGTAGTAAAGATGCCTATTTAAATGAGTTATTCAGTCATCCAAAATGCATCAGAATGACAGATAATATGTCATTTTTCTAAGTACTTTAGTTTTTTTTTAATCATTAAAGTCAGATCATAAAGGGCCACCATTTCCCGATCTTAAACCGATTCCAGCAAGATTTAAAATAGAAAAATATAATTAATTTTTTGCTTGTAATTATAATTATATTTAAAACAGTATCTTTATCTGATTCAAAAATTTTAAAGCAATTCCTATTTAAAATGAATTTTTAATTAAATTTAGTTCCTAAAACAAATTAATTATTAATCAAACACATTCAATTTTTAATTTTAAATTCGACATGTCGGAAATCTTAAAGCTTCTTGAAATAAATTTTTACATAAAAATAATTAATTTTCCCATTATGCTCATCAGTTTATAAAACTTTACAGTTACATTAATGCCTCTTATAGCTTTGTATACTGCCCAATATTTAATTTATAATTATAAAGTAGTATTTAATTTATATAATATTTAATTTATAGTTTATTTTAATCAGTATTTAATTCATAAAGTAAACCAAAATTCATACTAAGCAATCTCTTTGTTTAATGTTCGTATGAGATTCACTAATTGCTGATAATATTTGCAAAAAAGAAATCGAAGAGAAATACTAGTATAATAGTACATTTGTAATTAATAGACTGCATTTTAATAAAAAATCATCATGTTTTTAATGATGTGCAGTTTTCCTTGATAACATAAAACTTTTTTAACTTTTGAAATATATATAATAATGTCTTTGTTTCATGTATAAACAAGAAAATCTAATTAATCACTCATTTTTAAGTTTTGCCGAAATTTGATAACTAAAATTTCCATTTTAATTTAGTTTCACTTAAAATATGTTCTGCAAAAATGCCACAACAGATTTAACGTTTACCTTGCTACGTTTACATACCAATAATTTTGTTGGTTGCTCACTACCCTCTGCTGTTCAACCAGTGATGTTAGCAACACCCTAATCGACTGCACCATCGCAGCGCTTCATTCTTAATTACATGTAAGCGAGCACCAAAATCAGCGTTTAACCCTTGAGGATCTTAATCCATTTTTTCATTTGGAAAACCCCCGTGTTTAATTTCAACAACATAGTCTGTGTTAATTAATTAAAAATAATTTAAAAAAAAGAGTTAAAGAAAAATAATAATATAAAAATAATAAAAATTATGTTGTTGAAATACTAGTTCGAAAGTGAATCAATTGAGATCGTCATTCAAAACCCAACGTCATTGCCATTAATCCACGTCGTTAATGCAATCATTATCATCATTAATCCATGTAATTAATGCAATATGTAGGTAAATTGGCCAAAAATCGTAACAATATATATTTTTCTGCAACTTAACTGTCCTTACAGAAGGAATCAATGTTCTTGTGTCAAGTAGATAGTATTGTTTCTAATGCCATTTGGACAAGCCAGGCTCACAAACCTTTTGCAAATTAAGTCAGGAAGCGCACCTTTCGTTTGACAAGCGAGGACAGCAAGGTTGGAAGTACGTCTCTGCTCAAAACCACACGGATAGAGGGCAGCATCACTCTTTCAAAAGATCGCTAATAAATTATTTTTCTACCGGAACTAATCTTTTAATAGAGTTAAATACATTTTTAAAATAAAACAAAATTCATATGTCACGTAAATCCTTACATACACTATTTTTTTAAAAAATATAAATGATTTTTATGTTTCCCTTTTAAATAGTTTTATATTTATAAATTAATTATTAAAAATATGAATAGATTGTCATTCATAATAAAAATACCTATTAAAAATTTCATAAGAAATTTTAAAATATACTGAGAAATTAAACATTCAAATTCTTGAGTACAGAAATCCAATGGTTAACGTAAACGTTTGCACAACTGAATAAACATTTCCGTATGACTTCTAGTTTTTCAGGCTTGAAAAAGATAATAAAATGTTTAATGTCCATTCTCCTAAATAATAAAAAAGTGCTCACCACTACTTTGATTTCATCAACACAAAGATTGCAGAATTATATAAGAAATGTTGCGATACGATTTTTTGTGAAGAATTATTTTTCGTCAATTTAGAATATTATTTAAACAAAAATCATAAGAACTTTTATAAGCAGGTGGTTTTTTACAAGTGGATAACCTTCAGGAAATGTGACACTTCGGAAAGGAAAAATTTTTAATTTAAATATTTCTGAAAAGTTTGACTTTCATAAAAAATATTCATTATGCAACCTTTTTGAGAGCAGTGTATTTAACAGACATTCATGCCAAAAAAAATTTAATTATAAAATCACTTAATTTTTAATGATAAGAATATGACAAAGAAGTTTATATTTACACTGTTAGAATTTTCATTCTAAAATTATGTTAAAATAACCAGCGGCACTCAGTCCATCTATCTAAACGTAAAGATTACGGTAAGGGACTTTTTTCTCGATACGGTTTTGTTACCGTTTACAACTGGTATTAGTTTCAAAACCGTAAAAGCGAAATTTAACTGGACATAGGAGCTTGGTTGTGATTAAATTGTGCTTGATGAAATGAACCGTGGAAAGTGGCTTAATTCCATTTTTTTAATGTTTCCCCTATCGTAAGAGATGGGAAATATTAAGACTTTTTGGGTTAAGCAGCTTTATGCTGCAGTCATCTAGGCGTCAATTAGAGTACCGTATTGTAATAGACCAAAATCACAAATTGGGGAAGCAGGACACCCTTCATGTGTTACAGGGAATGGGGAAATATTGTGGTGTTAACACTGGGACGCGAACTTCTGTTCTGTCGGTGATGAAATTGACAGATAGCTCTTTCGGCTATAATACGTTTCCAACAGCAAATTCTCGTTGCTTAACCGTATAAGGTGAAAGCAGTTTATAAACGAATTTCTCACAGTTAACAGTTTGAATGCCCTCTTATTTATGATTATTTGACTGTTTTGTAAGAATATGGGGAAATAGCAATTAAATAAATTGTTATCTATCCATTTTTTTCGAAATATTTCTAACAGTGTAGAATCTATGATCTATTGGCAAATCTATGATCACAGTACGCGTAACATAATTAGATCACATGCATAATTGGAGACTTTAAAAAATTTTCATATAAATAATACTAAGTAATGCCGGATAAATTTTATTTCAATCTACGATCTTTCTGAAGTTACAGCAATTTTCTAGAAAGTTACCGAATCTTAGTTACTCTAAGTCTTAAAGAATCTTAAAGAAAATGTCTTTTTTTCAAGGGCCACTTGAAAGAAACATCCGCTTTCATCAGTGGTTATAATCACACATAAAATGTAAACATTCTGTACAGTCTGCAAAAAAAAAAAAAATAAAAGGAACACCTTAAATAACTTTTGATCTAATGATAAAATTTTCAAGTTCTAGGATTTAATCTTAAATGTTCGAAGGGGTAACATCAAATATATTAATATACTAGTGCTAACGATAACGAGAAAATACAATCTTTTTTTAAAATTTGATTATTCAGCAACTATTTGACCAATTTCGCTCAATTTTTTTTCTTTTTGCCATTTATAATATCACTTTTTGAAAAAGTATAAAAAATTGTATACCTTGCAATTTAGAAGCTTTTCGCTTATTAAAATAAAATAATAAAAGCTATAAATATTTACTGAAAGTTATATTTTGCAGACAATTATCTCGGATTAAATACATTTTTTAATTGTGTGCAAACACTTTGCAATTAGCTTAAAAATTTCTCGAGATATGGCGAAATACGCAACAAGTAAACATATAGGGGTCTAAACTGTTGACAGCCCTCCTGACCAAACATTGGGACCATATTTTCTAGATTGCAGATACTCCTTATATTTTATTAGCCAGAAATCTGAATCCATCGAAAAAAAAGATATGTTTATTCAGAGGAAGTACATTTTCGTGTCTTATTTTGTTCTTAAAATATCGTCAGCACTAGCTAAACAGCATGTTTGTGATCATTTTTCCGAGTAATTAGGATTGAGTCCAAGATTGTGAAGATCCGATCATTAGATCAAAAGTAATTCAGTAATTCAGTTTTATTATTTCCCACAATGTACAACTTTTTTTACCAGCTCCTGTGAATAAGGTATAACTTCATCTTATAATTTTTTACTACTCTTTTTACTACGAAAATGTCCGATGCTCAACCTGGCTGTAAGAGACTAACTAATGATCCATCCACCACTGAAGATATTTAAACCAGCACCGTGTTCGGTACGTGCCGTGTGTCGAATTCGTATTAACCAGCCTTCTCTGAGTTTCGAACCTGGTTATCTCATATAGCAGCAAGCTTTCTTTTCTTTGGACCACCAGAGCCCTATTTCATGCTATTTTATGTGTCCGTACTATAGGGTAAGAAGGAGCAGACGTAACATTAGAAAGGACAAACCATACCTTCTAGGGACCACAATTCTACGCAGTTCAAGGCCAGGATCAAACGCTTTTCGGCTTTCCCTTGAGTTATTTTAAATCCTATTCAATTTTAATCACAACGGTATCTAAACTTTATGAATTTGTGTTCTCAAAAAATTATTTTTCTTCTTTACTCTCAAATCAATTTCAAAATGATTCAGTTGATAATCATTTACAGATAATCATATAAGTCATTTAAACAGCTGTAAAATGAAAACTAAATTTTTGCTGAAAAATTTTACTGTTGAACAAAAAATTCTTCAATTGACATCAGACTCTTTAATATCTACATATATATTTCTCTTACACGGCGACAAAAAAAACCCCTCATTACAACTACCCGAATTTCAACGCTAGAAAATCGACCAATGATTGCAGCTAAAAATGCCACATGCCAAATCTGGCTGAGATGGCTCAACATATAGCGCTTTTAAAATTGAAACTGAAATAACCAGAGAGAGCATAAGCTAGGCAGAAGTGAGTAGTCTTTGTCGATAGATCTCTATTTTA